TCCAATCAGGAGCAGGTCCTACAGTTTATTGGTTGAACTGGAGGCAGCTGTGTAGAAGCTGTTTCTCCCTTCTCAGCGCCATATTGTGGGAGAGCAGATGCACAGAACAAGTCTTAATTCCAGTAACTTAGTCTAGTCCGAGTTGCTCCCCACAATTTTGTCCTCCTTATTCTTGTTTCTTGAATTGGTGTATTTGTTGTTCAGCATTTGTGGAGATACTCGTTGTTTTCTTGTTGTTGTTGTTGTTGTTGTTGTTTGTTTTTTTTTTGCTTTGGTGGCTTTTATCTTTGTACTATGACTCTGTAGATAAGTGGAGTTTCTGCATTCAGTGACTATCTAGAGGCTTGTAGTGGGTGTGGCGAGGGAAGCTCTATTCAGTTCTCCAGGGTGAAGGGCATATCTAAGGTGACACACCCAGGTTTGGGGGGAGGGTAAATTTCTTTCTCTCTCTTTTTTGTTAATCAGAAGGGAAGTTTATTCTTAGCTGAGCTCCTCTCCTCAAAGGAGACCAGTGCCTGTTCATTAGCCCCCAGTGGGTATAATATTCATCCACTTTGCCCTAAGAACCACACAAAGGATCTGTACAATGCTCAGAGTAAGTTCAGATTCCCCAGCAATGTTCCTCACCAGGTAACCAGGGAGCCCTGATCATGTGGAGCCTCCCACAGTGACTGCCCAACGTTCCAGCCACACCATGAGTCCCCCCACACAGCCTGCACAGAAGCCCAGTCACGAGCTCCCAGCCCTCTGTTAGTTCTCCCCACCAGAGTTAGGAGTGTCCACTAGGCTGGTTGCTGGGTGCAGACATGAGCTGGAGCAGCTGTTAGATATGTCCAAAATGGTACCCACTCTATTGGCTTATTATAGAATGCCATTTAAAGTGATCGGGGAGAGAAACGTGTGCTTCCTTTTGTTTTTCTCCTCTAGTTTGGCAGGTAAACTATCCTTCATGGGGCTCCAAGCCTGATTCCCTCTAGGCTCTTCCTGTAACTTTAGCACCAGTGGCTTGGGCTGCTGCAGTCTGGTCTCACCTCACTTTCCAACACTGGTGTGTTGGCTCTGGGCTTCTGGAGTTGGGTTGTAGGCGGCGCCCATGCCCTCCATGTAGGTCTACTGTGTACCTCTAATTTGAGTAGAGTTTCTGCTGCCGTTTTCTCCCTAACTCTTCTCTGAGACTGCACTCTCTCTACTTTTTTTAAACTATCTTCTCCTGGACTAGAGCAGTAAGCTCCCTCCATACTCTGCCATCTTGCAACTTCTCCCATCCTTACACTTTCACTCTGCGGGTACCTTTATTGGAGAGATGTGTTTCTTGTAGGCAGTAAATAGATGGATTTTGTAGTTTAATTCATTCAGCCAGTCTATCTTTTAACTAGAGAGTTGAGGCTATTTACATTCAAGGTGACTATTGAAGAATAATGATTTGGCCCTGCCATTTTCCGTAAATATTCCTATTGTTTACTTTGATTTCCTTTGTATTTTTACTTGGAGATTTTTTGCCTTTACCTTATTTCATAGTGATGACTGTGTTTCTGTTTTTTCTGTGTAGCACATCCTTAAGCATCTTTTGTAAGGCTGGACAATGGTGACAAATTCACCTTCATTCATAAATAGCTTTGCAGGGTACAGTATCCTGGCTTGACAGTTTTTTTCTCTTAATAGTTGGAACATATCTCTCCATTCTCTCCTACTTGTAAGGTTTCTGATGAGAAGTCTGCTGTGAGTCTAATTGAAGATCTTCTGAGAATAATCTGGTGTTTCTCTCATTCACATCTTAGAATCTTTTCTTTATGTTTTCTTGTGGAGAGTTTGACTACAGTGTGTCATGGTAAAGATCTTTTCTGGTCATGTCTGTTAGGAATTTGTGCTTCCTGTACTTGGATGTCCCTTTCTTTCTCCAAATTAGGGAAGTTTTCTGTTACTATTTCACTAAAAAGGCCTTCTAATCCTTTCTCTCTTTCCAAGCTTTCAGGAACTCCTAAGACTTGTTTTGGGTCACTTGATAGTATCCCATAAATCTTTTACACTGTATTTTAGTGTTTTAATTTCTTCTTCTTTATTTTGGTCTGAGTGTAAAATTTCCAGATTGTCTTCTAACTCAGATATTCTTTCTTTTGCCTTATTGAGTTGTATTGAAATCTTCATTTCCAGTATTTGTTTTGATTTCTCTTTAGAATCTCAGTTTCATGGAAAAAACTTCATTCATGTCATGTACAGATTTCTTTATTTCATTAATTTGCTTCTGATTACTTCTAAGTAATCCTATGATCAATTTTTAGGATTCCATTTCTGGCATTCCATCAACCTCTTCACATTCCAGCATTGAAGTATTGCGTTCTTTTGGGAATGTCATGAGTCTTCTTTATTCTTCTTTCTTGAATTGCTGTGTTTATTATTCGACGTTTGTGGAGATACTTGTTGGTTTTTTCTTTGTTTTCTCCCTGTTAGGATTTTATGTTTGAACTGGGCCTCTGTGGATTAGTGGAGTATCCACTCTTTCAGTGAATACCCAGAGGCATGTGCTGGGTGTGATCAGGGAGCTTTGTTCAGTGCTCCAGAGTGAGAGGAGTGTCCAAGGTGGCACCCAACTTGGGCATGATAAATCTCTCTCTCTTTTTTTTTTTTTTTTTTTTTTTTTCACCTGAGGGGAGGCTTGTTCTGCTCTGTTGGCTTAGTGTCAGGCTCACCTCCTCTCTTCAAAGGAGAGCAATGCCTGGGCGCTAGCCACAATGGGTGCAGTTTTCATCCACACTGCCACAAGAACCACACAGAGGATCCATGCAGTCCTCAGTGTGAACATGGATCCTGCAGCAATGACCCTCACCAGGGAATCAGGGATGCCTGAGCATGTGGAGCTGCCCACAGTGATTGCCAGAAGTGCCAGTCACACCTGCCGTCTTCCCATGTAGCCATAGTTTTTTCATAGTCCTGGCATACAAGGCTCCCACATCTCCTGTCAATTCTCCCAGCCAGACTCAGGCGTCTCCTCTTCTGCTAGTTACTGGGCAAGCAGACATGAGCTGGTCCTCTTTCGGTTTGTTACAGGACACCAGTGCCTGGAAATTGGGAGATAGAAACATGCCCGCTTTTTCCCTCTAGATTGGCAGGAACACTGTCCCCTACAAGGCTCCAAGCTGGACTCATGCCAGACTCTTCTCTCAGCTTTATTTTCAGTGGTTTGGGCTGCTGCATTCTGGTCTCACCTCACTCCATAGCTGGTACCTAGGCTATCGGCTACAGGGGTTCAGAGTCTTGCACGTCCACAGCCTCCATGTAGATCCGCTCTGTCCCTCTAATTTGCTTGGAGTTTCCTCTGCCTTCTCCTTACCTCTTCCCAGAGACTGCACTCTCTCCACTTTCTTTTAACTATCTTCTTCTAGACTAGAGCAGTATGCTCCGCCATCCTGACCTCTCTTCTGCAGTTAATTTTCATTAACATAGTTTTAAATTGGGTTAGCCATCAACTACCCTAATGATAATGAGTTTATATAAAATTGTTTCTTTTAGAAGAGGCCCTACTTTGTATTCCAGGAGTTAAAAAATTAGCTTGACTTACAGAATGAGTATATAATCACCTTATATGTCTTAAATTTCTAATTATACTTAAGAATTTTTCCTTAACTGTAAATTCTAATGAATATATGAAGTTCAATTTTTTTTTTGGTAGAATGACAGCTCCCATCTGCTGGTTCACCCTCCAAATGTATGCAATGGTTGGGACTAGATAGGACTAAAGCCAGGATCAGTGAATTCAGTCTGATTCTACCACATGGGTAGGGACCTGGTTGGTTAAACTATCGCCGCTGCATCCTTGGGTCTACATTAGCAGGAAACTGGAGTCAGGAGCTAAACCTGGAAATTGGATCCAGATGATCCAGTGTAGGACACTGTTGTTCTAACCCATGTTTTAACTGCTGGGCTAAACAGCAATGTGTGAGGTTAGATACTTTCATAGTGTAGTTGGATATAAGTCAGCCATACTTGTGTTTCCATTGATTTTTTTTAAATTTTTTATTTTATTTTATTTTATTTTTATTTTTTGACAGGCAGAGTGGACAGTGAGAAAGAGAGACAGAGAGAAAGGTCTTCCTTTTGCCGTTGGTTCACCCTCCAATGGCCGCCACAGCTGGTGCGCTGCGGCTGGCGTACCGTGCTGATCCGATGGCAGGAGCAGGTACTTATCCTGGTCTCCCATGGGGTGCAGGGCCCAAGCACCTGGGCCGTCCTCCACTGCACTCCCGGGCCACAGCAGAGAGCTGGCCTGGAAGAGGGGCAACCGGGACAGAATCCGGCGCCCCGACCGGGATTAGAACCCGGTGTGCCGGTGCCGCAAGGCGGAGGATTAGCCTAGTGAGCTGCGGCGCCGGCCTTCCATTGATTTTGACATTGGTAGATAGCTTGACTTTATTTTGTAGGGAGACAAGACAGATTTTACTTTTTATAACTTATGATAAAATATACATAACAAAACTTAACCATTTGAAATGTCCAATTCAGTGACATTAACTGCATGTACCCTGTACAACCATCACCAGTACCACTCGTCTACAAAACTTTTTCTGTCTTCTCAAACTGGAGTTCTATACCTGAAACTGATAGTATCCCCCAGTACCCTGCCTGTGTTCTCTGCCCCTCTCAGTAATCACTCTTCTATTTTGTGTCTCAAGTAGAATCATGGGAAATTTATCCTATTATATGTGGTTTATTTCATTTATCCTTTTATTTTCACTTAGTGTAATCTCTCCATGTTGTAGTATGTATAAAATTTAAAGATAGACAGTATAACATCGTACCTATATGTCACATTTGTTTACCCAGTCATCAATGTAATATATGCATTTCCATACTGACTTTTTCTTGTAAAAAAATAAGATTTGAATTTATGTATAGAAATAGATTAAACAGTCTCTCAGTTACCACATATTATTTATTTTGTCAAGTAAAATGTTTTTAAAGTTGTTGCAATCTAAAAAATTACTTTTGCTTTGTTTTGTATGCAGCCTTAAAAATTGAAGAATTACAAGAAGCTTTACGGAAGAAGGAAGAGGAAATGAAGCAAATGGAAGAACGATATAAAAAATACTTAGAGAAAGCCAAAAGTGTAAGTATGAATTAGTGGGCATCTCGTTCTATTTCATGATCATGTCTCATTAAAGTCTGGAAATACAGTGTCCACACAGAACAGTGACATCTCATGAAGAGAGCTACCACCAAAAAAAAAAAAAAAAAAAAACAAGAAATCTTTTTAGAAACAAAAGAACCTCAGCAAGAAGCAGTGATCACACCAGGTCACCCTGAAGATTACTAATGAATTACCGAGAAAATATAGCTGGTATAGGAAATGAACGGCCAATCCAAAGCCAGGAGCCAGGAGCTTCTTCCTGGTCTCCCACATGGGTCCAGGGGTCCAAGCAGTTGGGCCATCTCCTACTGCTTTCCCAGGCCATAGCAAGAGAACTGGATCAGAAGTGCAGCAGCCAGGACATGAACCGGTGCCCCTATAGAATGCTAGTGCTGCAGGCAGCAGCTTTATCTGCTAAGCCACAGTACCAGCCCCTGCTGGTTTTCTTACAGATAATAATAGTATTATGATTATGTAGGATAATATCCTTAATCTAAGGAGGTGCACTCTAAAGTATGTGAGGAATATTTGTCATGAGTTTGAATTATTTTTTTTTATTTGACAGAGTTAGACAGTCAGAGACAGAGAGAAAGGTCTTCCTTCCGTTGGTTAACCCCCCAAATGGCTGCCACAGCCGGCACTGCACCGATCCGAAGCCAGGAGCCAGGTGCTTCTTCCTGGTCTCCCATGCGGGTGCAGGGCCCAAGCACTTGGGCCATCCTCCACTGCCCTCCCAGGCCACAGCAGAGAGCTGGACTGGGAGAGGAGCAACCGGGACTAGAACCCGGTGCCCATATGGGATGCCGGTGCCACAGGCAGAGGATTTAGCGAGTGAGCCATGGCGCTGGCTCCTGTGAATTATTTTAAAATAGTCCCCAAAACAAGCGTGGGGTGTGTGTGTGTAAAAGTCTTAAAGGTGGGCAGGCATCAGTTGCAGGCATTAAGATGCAGTTTTGGTGCCTGCCTCCTTATTGGAGTTCCTGAGTTCAAGTCCCGGGTCCTCTCCCAGTTCCAGCTTCCTGATTCCAGTACTTGGATCCTGCTACACACATGAGAGCCCTGATTGCGTTCCAGGCTTCTGGCTTCAACCTGGCCCAGTGTTGACTGTTGCAGGCACTTGGGGAATGAACCAGCAGATAGAAGATCTTTCTCTGTCTCTGTTTCTGTTTCTCTGCCTTTTAAAGACGAAAACACCTTTATCCTTCAAAAAAAGACCTTTCCCTAGAGACCTGTGGCTTGTCAGCCAAAATTGCCAGCAGTGCCCATGACCAAACTAAACTTGCAGAAGAGGAAACGGGGTCACAGTGCTAGGCTGAAATCGTTGGGACCAGCAGCTCTTGAAAGTTCCTGCTATTCAGAGTCAGGGAGCTGAGCCAAGTCAGGGGACAGGGAAAGGGTAGAAGCTGGTAGAAATACTCCTGTGGCAGTATTCATTAATTTTAAACCAGAATTACTTCCTAAAATTGATTCTTTATACAATGCTAAAGTTGGAACAATTTATATAATTTCATACATTTACAGTTTAAAGTATCCTTGTAAGATAGCTGGGTATTCTTTGCTTCTTTTTTAAATAATTGTATTCTTCAATGTTAAATTATCTAAGTTTGAGAGTTTTTAGATTTTTCATTACTTTTTGTAGGTTATCCGCACTTTAGATCCTAAACAGAATCAAGGAGCAGCACCAGAAATACAAGCTCTTAAAAATCAGCTCCAGGAACGGGACCGACTTTTCCATTCATTGGAGGTAGTATGCTATATACTATGCCATAAAATACTGGTTTTTAAATTTTATGTTCTGGAAGTCTTGCTGTATTTTATAAATACCCATGGATTTAGGCAATTAATTGTAAGCATCTTATTTATATTGTTTTATATCTTTACATGTATACATATGTTTGTTCTTTAGAAAGAATATGAGAAAACGAAGAGTCAAAGAGAGATGGAGGAGAAATACATTGTTAGTGCCTGGTACAATATGGTAAGAAAATAGCATGTTAGAATGTAATGCAAAATTTGGTGAATTGTACTACTTTTACTGTAGAAGTAATTCTACCAAGTGAATCTGAAAGTAATTGCTAACCTAACACACTAATAGAAGCTTAGCTAACGCTCACCCTAGGACTGTATTAGGACCACCATAAATAGGTTTAGGACATTTGAAAACCTGAGAAGATAGCAAAATGAATGTCAGTTTAATTTCTGTCCCTCAGAGCCACAATTTACGGAAGATGGACATGAATAATGCCTAACATAGATGCAGTGGCTTTTGTCTATGTGAACTATTTCAGCACCTTTGCTGAGTGTATTTACATTGATGGTTTAGCCATCGCATGGGGTTTAGGAAATCCATAATGGTCAGATCCTAAGCCACAGGTGGTTTTGTGATTGAGTGATCGAGCGCACAACACTACACATGCTACAGGGGAAAACACATGCACTTGCATTCTGGTCTGAATGGGAATAGTTGTGTTTTAAAATGCTCAACTTCTTTGACGTTTTTTTCTCAGGTTTTTTGCCTTCCTTCTTTTTCTTCTTCTTCCCAAAAGGACCACTTCTTTCTTTTTAAAATGTTAATTATGTGAGACAGGAAATGGAACCAAATTCCTTTCATGGTTGCCTTGTGACCCTGTAGGCCTGACAATGGCACAACACCTTTGTTCGTATGTTACAGTTATAATTGATACAGCCTTTTAAAGGTTAGTATCCCTGGCCTAATAATTTGATTTGATCTTTGTCAAAATTTATAAATTTGGGGCAGAATTTTGGCATAGTGGTTAAGATATAGTTTGGGATGCCCACATCCCATGTTGTCATGCCTGGGTTCAGTCCTACCTCCACTTTCAGGGCAGTTTCCTGCTAAAGTGTACCCTGGGAGGCAACAGGTGATGATGGTTCAAGGACTTTGGTCTCTGCCTGCTATGTGAGACTCATGGCTTTGGTCTGTTGCAGGCATTTGGGGTATGAACTAGCTTATGGAGGGTCCCTTTCTCCCTGTCTCTCTCTGTCTTTCAAATATTACAAAAGTAAATTTAAATTCATAAACAAGTAACATGTTATGTCCTCACATATTTTTGTCTTGGTCAAAACTATATATTTAAGGCTTTATCGCAATTTTTTTAAAAAAGAAATCCTATTGGATTTATAAAACTCTTATTGTTAACAAATACAGATTCTTGAGAATTACCATTTAATAATAGAAAACACTGTTTAGGGACTTTCTCTGAGAATTCTGTTCACAGTTATTTTGTCTCTTCATTGTCTTCCTTGAAGCATGGTGCTCACAATCTTTGCGTTCTACACCTTAGTCCTTGTTAGTGATTTAATACTTTTGATTGATTTTTTTTACTTTAAAAATTGTACTTTAAAAATTCTTATGGAACCAGATGTCTTTCTTCTGTGACCATGGTTCTAAAGAGTAGTCCTAATTGTGCACTCCTCAGAGAGAGATGTTCAGGTCAGATTACCAGCACCAGCATCACACTGACCTTAAGAGAGCCCTGCAGCCCAGCTGACTGAAGTGGACATGAGATGATTGCTGGAGAGAGGTTTGAAGTAGCTCAGGGAATCCTTGAATGTCATGTGATGGTTACTGATGTCTTAAAAATATGTGAAGAATTTGCCCCAATTTCTTGAATGTGAAAATGAAAAAGAATATTTTAACTAATATATATTAGTATATGTAGTCAGTTTAGATATTTGTTAATTTTTCAGATCCTTAAGTGCTTTGTTTTCAAATTGAGCTTAAAAAATGTTCTGAACTTTCTCATTGAGGAAATGTGCATTTGGGTATGCACGATAGACTGACGTTAAGTGAACAACACAAGGCCATGGCAGTCGTTTCCCTAGAAGCTAGCTAGTAATGGGAAAATTTCTCTCTGCCCTCCTCTCCTGTGCTTTGTTCTTTTCATTCCAGGAAAGCTGAATCCCTTTCATTTTGCTTGTCCTCTCCACTTGACTCCTTTTGCCTCTTTGCTCATTTCTTCCTGCGGCCAGCTTCCTTCCTCCCTCCGTTTGCCTGTATCCAATTAAGCAGCAGCTCCCAGTCCTTCAGTCGTCCAGCCAGAACGCTCTGTTGACTTGCTAGATGAGCACCAAAACTGCGTTCTTCCCTGATCTGCATTTAGTCAGGCAGCGCTGTTACTGTCTTTACCACATTCAGCTGTCACCCTGGCGACTTCCTCCCTCCTGTTAAGGTGCACTCCACCAAGTGTGCCCTCTGTCTCTTCTAAGCTAGTAGTGCCCTTCCCCTGTCTTCAGGAAAGACTCCCTTGCTCTCGGTGGAGCCCTGTGTTGTGGGCTGCCAGGAACTTGTCTTAGCTTCTTTGAGAAGGGAAGCTGCCTGGAAGGGAAGCGAGCCATCACAGTGGTATGTATAATGTCCGGTGTGGCTTTCCATCGTAACAAACAAGAGCGTTTCTACTCTGTGATTTCCAAAACCCATCCAAATCAGCTGCTACCAATCAGTTGCCCTTTTTTCCCTTGGAAAATCACTTTATGCGTTTTAATTTTAAAGGGAAGTATGATTGAGTGTGGATAGTATGTTCCTACAAATTGTCTCTGTTGCCTATTGTTTTGGTTATCGTAAATTCAAAAAATTAATCCTTAATTTTTCCAAAGAAAGATTTGTAACTAATTATTGGAACTAAAATGCTTCTATATAAGATTGTAATCTATATTTCCTAATTGTGCTTTATGTGCAACGTAACAAATTCTGCATGATGGCATTTTCCTTTGTGACAAATGTATTATTCCACTATTTTTACATTGACTGCTTTTGTTTGTTTGCTTGTTTTTTGACGTTACAGGGAATGACTCTGCATAAAAAGGCGGCTGAAGATAGACTGGCTAGCACAGGTTCAGGGCAGTCATTTCTGGCTAGGCAAAGACAGGCAACCAGCACAAGAAGATCCTACCCAGGCCATGTTCAACCAGCCACAGCAAGGTAGAGAAGTCTTGCCGTTAGAAGTAAAACCTGCATTCAGAGCATCCTTCTGTTATGTGTAGCAGCATTTCAGGAAAGTCAGCCAGCTTATTTTTTTGTTTTCCTTTGATGTTAATATTTAGTGCTTCTTATCTGAGGACTTTTTCTCTCTCCTGTATCTTTCTTTTAGTTTATCTTGTCCTTTATTTTATAGTCCTTTGAGTTCCTTTTAATGTGCCAAAAATTTGTAAATGTCCAATTAAAAGTGTTGTATAATAGTGTAATACTTTTATTTGTACGAAAATGTCTTCTTCCCCAATGGTATAGGCTTTGTAATGAATTAGATTTTCTGCCAATAATTGATATAAATTTATATTCTTTATTGTGCCTATGTGTTACCATGCTTTATAAGAATGTCTTTGTTTAAAGGGAATTAATCTTTTTATGATGTATTAATCTGTGTTTTTGATTGTTTTCCAAATGCACTTCAAATAACTTGCATATTTACTATAAAAAATGGTTGGCAAGTGCACTTTTTGCAAAGACGAGAATACATTGGCAGAAGTGCTAATCATGTCACTTAAGGCACCCGGTAGAATTATTTAGAGGGAGAAAAATGAGTTTTCATGTGATTTTATAGAAAATTAAATTTGTCCTAAGATTTGGAGACTGTTTTTGAAACATGTAAAATTTCATTATTTTTTGCTTTTTTGTTTGCTGGCAAAATTGAACATATTGGTGAGGTTATTTGTGGGGAAATTACAAAAGAAAAAAGGCAGTACCTTTTAATTGTTTTCTTGTTTTGGAGTATCTTTGTAGCCAAGAATTGATTCTGGCAATGTGCTTGACATTTATGCTTTCAGTTACTCTCCATATCTAGAAGATTTATTTTTCCTATGCTTACAAGTAAGGTATTCCTTTTGGGCAATTTGTTAACTAGTTTCTCATTTGTTTTACATATTTCTTGATATATAAACCCTTTCGTTTCTTATAATTCCTTATACTTAATGCAAGTCATTCAGATCATTGAGTGACTTCTTGTATGTAGTTGTTGTTAGGAGAGCTCTCTGCATTTTTTCTTAAATCTATCTACTAGTCCTTGGATTTGTTACTAAATAGATTTTCTTAGGTTTCAAAATGCTTAAATGGTAAATCAGGTTTATTTACATTGATGAATGGCTGCAGAGTAATCATTGTAAGGCACTTCGTCTGTCTAAGGTGCTATAGTTATAAAAGCAAAACATTTGTGTGAAAATGAAATGCCTTCTAACTTTCCATTTTGATGCATAGAAGTATTTGACCCCAAATTATATTGAATTCCTTTGCCTTTTTCTTCTAGAAAATTTTTTTTAAAAAGTAAAATAGTTTCTGAAATTAGGTCAGGGTTTTTTGTTTTTGGATAGATTACCTAAAACCTATTTAATGTACTTGCTGCTTGAAAGATCAGGTTTCATTTAGGTTTAAATGTTAAATACAAATAAGTAACTTTGAATCAAGCTAAATGTAATTAAGGGTTTTCAGAAATTAAATTCATGTGTTTGCTTTTAAAATCCTTTTTTATAGGTAAATTGACTTAAAATTGTAAGCATTTTTGGTCTTAGAGAACATACTTGAAGAAAGGCATTGGCATATACACAGAAGTGACCCCATGCATTGTGCTAATTCTTGGCATTAAACACAGAAGTCTGATCTCAGCATGAGCACTTCTCTCTGACAATACTCCAAGGCAGCGAGAATCAGCAGTCACACACAACTGCATGTGAGAAGCATGCATTACGGGGTTTCAGGAGGCTGAGCAGACCTATGCGACAGAGGAGATGAGAGGTTAAAGCCCATGTAGGATGCTTCTCATCCCCACCCTATTTCACAAACAACATGAGGATTCAAGTGCTTATGAAACAGATTAGGATATGAACACTACTAGTCTTGGTAAAATAAAAATTATGGGGACATTATACCCCTAGAGTAAGGCAGGTGGAAGCAAGCCTGTGACTTACTCAATAAGTGAGTTATATTCTGTGAGCTGAGAGGCTGTAATTACTGCTCAGTCCTGGGCTTCTATCCAGATATTTTTTTCTAAATGGATTGGAAAGGTGCCAAGATTTTAGAAGGAGGTTTTACTTCAGATTTTTCTTTAGCATCTGTTGTATGCTATGATTTGTGTATTTACATTTGTAACTTTCATTACATTAGAAGAAATTATATTTCTAAACATTTTCTGATGTTTGAAAACAGAACAGGTTTTTATAAGATATAGCATCTGAATATATTTTAGCTATTGGAAAGCCAAGACTAAAACTTAGCAGTAACCATGGCAGCCATTCCTTTGTCTAGCTTTTGGACAGCGTTAATGTTCTTTCTCTTTCTCCATTAATGGTTAATAATTCTCAAGAGATTGGTGATGATGTATAGCATTAGGGGCTTTATCTGGATGTGCTAAGCTCTGTTGTCACAGACTCCTGTACATAGTACTTCATGAAGTCGCCAGGTGCTGGTATTGGAGCTGGTGGGAGGAGTGTGCAGTGTTAATCTGGTAAGTGGCCATGAGCCGCTGTCATAGTATTTGAATTCTTAGAAACAGGCTATTTGCCTTCTAAACAGGGTAAGAAAATAAAAATAAATGCCTAAACAATATTGAAACATAGCATTTATGTCTATAGTTCATATGTGAAATGAAAGAATCCAGCAAATATATCTGAAAAGAAAATAAGTAATAACAATTGTACATATTTTAAATGAACTTTCAAAAACTGGATCAAATTTTTTTACTACTTGATAATAACCAAGAAAAAGAAGTCCCTAAGTAAAAGGCCCGTGCTCCAAAATTTAGCAGCATTGAATTATTTCCACTGGATGTCCTTAGCCAGGTGTAGTTGGCTTCCTGAGATGATTTAGAGTGTGAAGGTGGTGTTGTGGGCTGTGATTGTATTAGAATGATGAAAGCTCAGTTGTACCAAGGGAAGCTAAAGCTTACCCAGTCAGAAACATCAGCCTGTATATTTCCTTAGTTCTCACAAAGAAGTATCCATGCAGTGGGAATAGGTGGGTAGTGAGTGATTGTCAAGTGAAAGATGAGCTACATTGAAGAAAAGATAAATTTTATTTGTGAGCTACTTTACTCACACCTCCTTTGCAGTTGGTGTATTCTTGGTAACTAAGTAATAATATGAAATACTTTTGAGTATATCCCGCTCCCACACAAGGATTCAACCGTTAATGATTACACTGTGTTAAAAATGTTTAAAATCTTTTTCCCAATACAAGAATTATCTTGAAGCAGAAACCTAAATTTTTAAAAATTCATTTAACTCTCGCGTTTTGCTTGCAGTTGTCCAGATCTCTGATTCTAGGAATGTTGCAATTATCCCCAGCTGGAACAAGTGAGATTTATCTGGAAAGTGGAACTCCAGCTAGTTGATAGCCACGTGGATAAGGATATCATTCGTCCAAAAGTGAGAAATGCCCTGGGCACTTGCCTCTGCTAAGAATACCAAAATAGCAGCATTCAGATAAAATGCCTTTTGTTGTCTATTCGTTAAGCTATGGAAGAATATTTTTGCTTTTTCTTCCTATATTATGAGGATGTGATCGTTCGACTGGTGCAGCATTGTCCTGGGCAGTGACATTGCTCTGCCATCCTCAAGGCTGGGGAAAGGATAGACCGAGCAGAGTGAGTGGGCATCAGAATCAGGATCGTTACATCAAGTGCTGTCTTTTCAATAAGGGAAAAGGGTTTCCTTTTCAATAAAAAAATCATCTCTGCTGCTTTAGTCCTTAACTAATAAAGTGGCAGCTTATTTTGGCAGATATTCAACCCAGTTCCTGTAACATTTAGAAAGAAGCTTTAAAATTTATTCTTTATGATTTTAATATTTTATGTCATTATGTTTTTATATGAGGAAGCATACTCTCAATGTATATGTCACTTAAATTTTTACTTTATAAAGAATACTTAGTGTTCCTTTTCTTGAAAACTTTGAAAATGTTTTATTGTCTAAGTTTAGCACAATAATGTTCTAATGTGTTACAGTAAATGCTGTTTAGTTCTCAGAAACTAAAAAAAAAAAAAAAAAGTGCAGCTGATACAACTAATTTCCCCCCTTTCTGAGTTCCCCCAAATCACACAAGTGTTCAAATTTAGCTTTCTACTTATAGAGTGAAAGCACACATGACATCACATATATCCCTTAAATCATAGATGATACTTTTGGGAGGGCCATGCTGATTATAAATAGCCTTTACCAAACCAGGCCATATGTAATACCTTTATGAATATTGAAACTTAGAAAATTCATTTAATGTTGTTAAGACAATGCGTGAATATCTTTGCATTACACTAAATGATAAAGAAGGGACATTAGTTTATTTGAGAAACGAGATAATAAACCTGATCATGGCAAGTATATGGTTTTTGCATTTGTGGCAGGGTCCATAATGCTTCCTAAGAAATGCAGATATATATATATATGTATCAGAATTACTTGATGTCTCTCTAAAGTATTTTTCTTTCTCTCATATTTTCCAGTAATATTTGTAAGAGTAGGTTTGCATGCTGTGTGTTAAGTCAGAATAGAAATCTAAGAAAGTAGCAGAAGTCTGTTAAGGCAAATCCATTCTAGTAAATACAATGGATGATTACATTAAGAAATTGCCTAATTGTGGGTGAATATCCAGGCAGATGGAAGTACTAACACAGTGAAAACTTTATCCTAACAGATGTTCTTGAAGTAATACTTTACATGTAATCTTCTGTTATGTGATCATTCAATAACAGCGTAAACAGAAATGTAACTTATTTTCTAAATGTCCTTCCCTTCAGTAGCTGTTAACTAGACACATAGTATAACTCTAGGTATTAATTAGTGGAGGGGAAAACATTTATTTTCATTTTGACACTTAAACCATTACTAAACCTGAGATAGAGGTTTTAGTTCATCATTAACATGCTATGATTTGATGAGATGAGAAGAAACCTCGTGGCTGAGATTTGTGACCAACTTCCTAACAGTTGTCTAGATCTGCTGTATGGTTTGCAAACCATGGGCTCAATTTTATTTAATTACAAAGAGTAGCCCACACAAAGTTTTGTTTAAAATGAAAGCGAAGTAGACATTTTTAAGTATGTTCTAAGTGAGCCACTTGGCTAAGAATTAGGTGCTTAGGATCTGACGACAGAACCAGAAATGACTACAGACTTGAAATTTTAGGCTCATGGAGCTATCAGATCCTGAATTATACTTGGAGCTTAGAGAAGGAATTAATACCGTGAGGAGAGCAACCTCGAGGTGAGAAAAAGAAAACTACCGGAGCACACTGAGGCTTTGCTGTGCCTGGGAGATGCTGAGCAGGCTTACCAGCCCAGAGGCCTGGAAATGGAAGGAAGGCAGGCAGTCAGCAGTTGTGTTGGAAGCTACTCCAGAGGAGCCATGTGTGTTGGTGGTGTGTGTGTCAACCTGTGGACCGTGATTACTGTAGAGAGGTTTGCCAGTGTGTTTAATTTTGTGTTCATTGCTGTTAGAGATGAGTGTGGTATTATTTACTGTCCTGATCATTTATATACTATTTATACTTTGCAGCACTTTACTAGTATTAGGAAACTTTTTCCCTCCACACTCCTGTGGCATTTTCTATTCCAATTTGAAAGGCAGGAGTCAGAAGGCCTAAGTCTAGAAAATCTGAAGTTGAGGGCATGGGCTACTTTTTATGTCCCAGTGAGACGACTTTCAGTCTTCATGAAGCTAAATCCCCTCAAATGCAAAAACACACTTGAAACTTTTCATTTTCTGGAGTTGTGTTAATAAAAACCAAGCAGTCTTCTAGTTAATGAGATTTTCTTAACTTTAACTGCCTGTCTCCTACAAAATCGTCCCTAGCGTTGACCACAAATACCCAAAGACAGGAGAATGAAAACTGACGAGTCAGACACTAACAGTGTCAAAGTGCTACAAAAATATTCATAGTAGTTCTTTAACAGATAACACTTTGTGAACTTGGCCCTCTTCTTTTTCTTTCATTTAGAGATACAGGCAGGCAGGCAGAGACATCCCACCTCTGGTTCACCCCCCTGATGCTGGCAATGGCCAGGTTGAAACCAGGAGCTGGGAACTCAATCCAGGTTTTAAGACGGACCCAGTCACTTGAGCTTTCTCCACTGCCTCCTAGCTTGAGTCAGGAGCTGGGAGCCAAGCCCAGGTCCTCCAACTTGGGACACAGGCATCTTAACCACTTGGCCATTCTTTAAAATGCATACATAGCAAAATTTTCAGCTTGTTCTGTTGAGAGGTTTTTTGGGTTTTTGTTTTAGGAACCAGGACTCTTCATTGTATAACTTGGATGTATTAGTATTCAAATCATAGTGCAAAAGTCTCTAGATGTTTGTTGTTAGATGAACTGACACATGATTACTGCCAAAGAATAGGGAAATTTGCTGGTAAGAACATTGAGGTGCTTTGTGCTTTTTCTTTCACGGTATGAAGTCTCTGTACTATTCTGTGTCACCCTGCCCGGAAATGTGTTGGCTCGGGCGGGGCACCCACAAGACAGCAGCCCAGAAACAAAGAAGGCAGACTTGACCTTTTAGGGAGAGAGCTAATTTTTTTCTTTCCAAAGTAAAAAAAAAAAAAAAAAAAATCAGAAATTAAACACAGACACAGGAGGGCAGAATGCAGTTGTTTGAATGTCTTCTACTAATTCATTGCTACTGTGTCTTAACTTCCACTGGCTGCCCTTGTTGACCTAGATAAGAGTATCGCTAGTCACATGTGATGATTTCAGTGAAAACTTTGTTCCTTAGTCACCTGGTCACATTTCAAGTGCTCTGCAGCCACGTGTGACAGCATAGATACAGAACATTTCCATCAGTGTAGAAATGCTATTTGACAGAACTCGTAATACCCAAACAAAAACAGGGATAAAATGAAGGCCATCGATTAACTTCTGACAGCTCTTGCATTTTACCACCATAGTTGAAAAAGCTTTCTTAGAAAATACCAGCCGTTTTTAACAACCACGAGAAAAATCAAAACTCCATTGCATTAGCTGGTTTTCAGTATATTCATTTTTTAAAAATAGATTCTGAGCACTTTATTTTTCAAGTGATTAAATCATTTTGTGGGTCATTTTTTGATATCTTTAGGTTTTTTCCTTTTATATACATATATACTCTTAAAGTTGATTTATAGTTGTCTAACATTTATCAAGCAGAAACTGATATGTGTACTTATCAAATAAAAATTGATAAACTTTATTATATACTATTATTTTTAAACCTATATAGATCTAATGAAAGTTACCAACTTTTTTTTCTGTCCCTTTAAATATTTCTCTCCTAAATTCACATTTGACTGTCTTCCACATCAAAGGTATATACATCAAGATCCAAATAATTTGGTTTTCTTCATAGCTTCTTCTCTTCTTATTAGCTTGGGTTATAATCAAATTAAGTTTTATGTATGAAGCAAGCATTTACTATTCCAGCAACTTAGCTAATGAAAACATTTTTAAGATAATTTACTTGGCCTGTTATTAAAGTACTTAATTAAAAGGATCTGTATGGGTATATATCTTTGAATTTTTTAATGAAAATCATAATTCTCTTGAATCAGCCTGGTGCTCAGTTAAAACTACACTACTAGGAAGTCCTGATGGTCCCCTCTTGCTTCTTAAATTTTTGTAATCAAGTGGCAAACTTGATCTAATAGTGTCAAATTCCATGCAAGTTATAATGAGATCCATATTGTAGTTCAAGGACAGATGAGTAATGATGTGATTGGGAGTGGTTAATCATTTTCTTGGTGACCTAGTTTACATAATGTTCTACAGACTCATACTAGTTAAGGGAAATTTTCAATATGCTTGAAATAAGAAATAGCATTTTAGTATAAATACAGGAGGTGACTGTACACAAATACCAGCAGATGATTTGGGGGCCTTTTAGTTTTTTTTTTTAACAGTAGTCTTTTTTTTTTTAAGAGTCTTAGTTATTTATAATTCAAATGCACTAAAATGTCATCACTGTCACTAACTTTGCTGTTTACAGTTTCTATATAATTACGAATGCTTTGTACTCCGAAGATCATTTCCAGGTTTATCTTGTTTTGCAGGTTTCATGTTTTGACAGTTGCCCACTATTTATAACGCTTAACTTTGGATTATGTGATTATGTTATGATTAGTAAAATTCAAACATATCTAATAGTTTCATAAATTGCCTTATTTTGATTAACAGATTCAGAGTGTCAGAAATTTGGGGATTAAAAAGAGGCTTTTTTTCCCCTGTAAGCTTTTCAGATGAGCTTGAAACACCTTCATACGTTGGAGTTGGGGCCATATTGATGACAGTACCAGCTCTAAAGCCTTACACTCGTGTCTTAAGTATTGATTGCTCTGTGAATTGTTAGTTTCGTATTTGATATTACAGTTATCCACCTTGCATTTTAGCCTTTGCAAAAAGGATATTGCTAGGAATATTCTTGTTTCACAATTTTATTCTTTATCAGTATAATCCAGAAATGATGTCCACATAGGACTCTAAATTTCTCACTTCCCAATTAAAACACAATACAGATTTAGCAACTTTGTACATAATGGTGTCCAATCATTTTTCCACCTGTTTACACAACTTATGTACAATTTACTATTTGTTGAGATTGGTGGATGTTCTCACTGGTTTTCTGAGGTGAATGACTTGTTAGACAGCTTAAATGAGAAATTTTAACTAAAATCACAAAAACAAAGTCCAATAAACCACCATCAGAAGATGGATTTCAGTTTTTTTGAAATTTTATGTTTTGTTTTGATATCACTTACTCATCTTAATTTTATGACTGCCAACTTGTAATGGTATTATGTGTATGTGTTTATATGTATGCATATAATATATGTATATGTATATGAAGAATAAAGTTAAGATTTGGTCAAACTATATTTTCCCATTCAAGTACAAAAATGTTTTCAAAGGCTGCAAAAAGTGTACAGTTGTTAAACAAGTTGTAAATAAAGACTTGTATAAAAATTCAGCTTAGTTTTTGTTGTTCTGCTCTTTATTACATGTAATAATTGATCGTGTTCTTCCATTTGCCTTTGGTACTTCCCATACTACTGACAATCTAAATATTATGTTACTGATTTATTATAAATCAGGAATATTCTTAAGAGTTTGTTTTCCAGTGCCTACAGTAGATTTTGTGTTGATTTAGGCTGGTACATAATGTTTCTAAGATGACTGATCTGACCAAAGATCTCAGGATTAGAAGTTAAACATGACTTCTGTCTCAGAGTGAAGATCCATTTCACCACAGAAGTATAGCATTCTTTGTGCCAGTTTAGTCCTACAAGATAAAACATTATCTGGCCAGTACTGTGGCATAGCAGGTAAAGCTGCTGTCTGCAGTGCCAGCATCCTATATGGGCACCGGTTCGAGACCCGACTGCTCCACTTCCAATCCCCCTCTCTGCTATGGCCTGAGAAAGCAGTAGAAGATGGCCCAAGTCCTTGGGCCCCTACACCTGCATGGGAGACTGGAGGAAGCTGGCTCCTGGCTTCAGATTGGCTCAGCTCTGGATGTTGCAGCCAATTGAGGAGTGAACCAGTGGTTGAAGAGCCCGCCCACCCTCTCTGTCTCTCTCTCTGACCTTCAAATAAATGAATAAATAATTATTTAAAAAGTTACAGTGGTAGAGGAGGGGCATCTTCCATCTGCTGGTCACTCAAAACCAGGAGCCAGGAGCTTCATCCAGGTCTCCCGGGGCCCAAGCACTTGGGCATTTTCCATTAATTTACCAGGCGCAATAGCAGGGAGCTGAATCAGAAGTGGGGCAGGCGGTGCATATATGCGATGTTGGTGGTACACACGGCAGCTCAACCCACTGTGCCACAATGCTGGCCCCCATCTAAACATTATTGAAATTAACATATGTAAAGTGATAGTAGCAGTATGGAAGTTGATTATATTTACTTTGGAAAACAATCACCAGGTCATTCCAGAGTGAAGTTAGCAGCAAGTAAACTAGTACACATGTAGCTAAAATAGTGCTCATTTTAATGTCAGAAAAATATTAGTTTATTCTCTAGCATGAGTTTAGCACTGAGTGTTCCTGAGTAGTATCTCACCTGTTTGCCACAAGTACTTTTATGCTGACAGAATGTGGTCCACATCTCAGTGGAAGAGTGGTAAGTCTCTGGCCTCTGCCAAGCACATTCACTTCAGTACAGAACAATCAGGTGCATCATTTCAGCGTGAACAAAACCTGAGGCAAACAGTACAGAGTAATTCAGTAAGGCAAAGGCATGCTCGTAGCTCTCAGGATAGGCATTTTCTTGTATGTGGCACGAGCTATCAAATGCTTACATATAGAATGGGCTATATATGGACTATAAAGAACTTTGCCAAAATATAACTACACCTCTATTTGTAGTGATAAACTTCACATTCCCTGCCAAGATTTCCTCAGATCCCTTTGTACTATTCCCAGCCTTCCCAGCTCCCATGTGCCTATCCCAATTAACACGACGTGCTTTCCATCGTTACCATTTGGTATGCACTTATTTTTGTCTGGCTGCTTTTCCTCAGCCTGATTACTTCAAGACTTTCTCATGTGTCTGTCCATGGTTCATTCCATTGTATTGCTGAGTAGTAATCCATTACATAGCTAGTTCATGACTGATGAATTCACCTAGTGGTGGATATGTGAGTTTTTTCCAATATATCCCCACTGCAAGTGAAGCTGTTATGGTTGTTTGTTTATAAGCATTTGCATCGACACATGCTTTCATTTCCCTCCAGTGAACATGTAGGAGTGGGATGGCTGGGTCATATGATATGTGTGTATTTAATTTTTTTTTAGATTTATTTATTTTTTACTTGAGAGAGTTACACAGAGAGAGGAGAGGCAGAGAGAGAGAGAGAGAGGTCTTCCATCCGTTGGTTCACTCCCCAGATGGCCTCAATGGTCGGAGCTGGGCTGATCCAAAGCAGGAGCCAGGAGCTTCTTCTGGGTCTCCCACATGGGTGCAGGGGCCCAAGGACTTGGGCCATCTTCTACTGCTATCCCAGGCCATAGCAGAGAGCTGCATTGGAAGTGGAGCAGACGGGACTAGAACCAGTGCCCACATGGGATGCTGGCACTGCAGGCAGTGGCTTTACCTGCTACACCTCAGCACGGGTCTCCCTTGAGCTCACCACTTCTAACGTTATCGCTGGTTTTCTAAGCCACCATCTCTCCTTTAGACTGTTGCAGTAACCCGCCCAGTCTTCCCCACTTTCACCTTTCCCTGTGATACTATTGTGTTCTGAATACACAGAGTACAGTTCATTCTCAGTATAGACATCATAGTGTCTGGTAAATAACAAGGTATATCACTCCACAGTCAAAATCCTACAACTTCCCATCTCGCAAGTAAAATCCAAAATTCCTTAAGGCTCTGTGTTAGCTGCACTGTCTTAAGTCTGAACTGTCCTGTGTCCCTTCCATTCAGTCACTACACTGCAGCCACGTGGGCCTCCTGGATCCATAAACTCACCACACACACCACCCCCACCCCCGTGCCTTAGTTCTCTGGACTTCTGCCAGGAATGATCTCCCCACATTGGCTCACTCCTTCGCTTCCCTCAAATCTTTCTTCAAATGCCAATCATCTATAGTAACCCATCTGTTATGGTTTCAACAGGATTTGCCTTCTGAATACATCCCAGTATTCAAATCCCAAAGTCAAGGGTTGGTGATGCCGGTAGGACGGTAAGATCTGACAGTAGTTCCTGTGAGAGGATTGGTTACAAAAGCCAAGTTGGACCCATGCCTTCTCTGCAGAAGCACATGTTTTGCCATTGCCACCCTCTGACTTTAACCAGAAAGCCAAAGGGCCAACCGTGACCCTTCAAGGCCCTCCTGCAAAAGAAACTTAGGTTAGATATATCATTATGGTTATGAAAATGTGCCTAACACAACATTCTTAGGCTTAAAAAAATTCTTTATTTGAAAGGTAGAACGACAGAGAGAGATCTTCCTTCCATTTGCTGGTCCACTTTCCACATGGCTACAAAAGCTAGGGCTGGTCCAGACCAAAGCCAGGAGCTCCATCAGGGTCCCCCACATGGGTGGCAGGAGCCCAAGCACTTGGGGCATCTTCTGCTGTTTCTCCCAGGTCATTAGCAGGGAGCTGCATCCTAAACGGAGCAGCCGGGACCCGGGCTCGAACCAGTGACCATATGGGATGGCCGGCTCCAAAGCCCAAATTCAGACTGCGGTTCCTGGCCAATCCCTTTGCTTCATTACGGGGCTTGGATCACATCCTCCCCACTGAAGCACGTGTGCTGCCCACCCTACCTTCATCTCCGCAGTCCAGGAGCACCAGCCTTTTTTTGCCCTCCACCGGCTTCATCTTTCTGGCCTTTCCTGCCGGCTACTCTCGCCCATAACCTGCTTCACAGAACGGGGAACCCCCGGAGATGTGTGCAGCGAATGCCTGTGTCCTGCAACGCACAGAAAAGCGCTTCCTAACGCCTTCGCCTATTCCTTGTCAGCTCCGAAAGACCAAATCCCTGGATTATCGAAACCCCTCTTGATAAACTCAGCTTTCAAAAGAATGTGTGCAGTGAAGAAAATGGCGCGCTGGAGGCCAGCTCTTTCCTGAGAGTAAGGGCTGGCGGGCGAGCCGTGGCCAGCCGCCCTCGGCCTCGCGACGGCTTCCAACGCTCGGTCAGAGGCCCGGTCGCCACGTCCCCGACAGGGGGCGGCTGACAGCGCCAGCACATTCTGGAGAGACACGTGCGCGCTTCCTCGTGGCGAAGCTGGAGACCCTCGAGAGAGCAAGGCTGGACATCGTGTCCCTGACCCCCAACCCCAGCCACCCACGGCTCCTCCCAGGATCCCGGCGACACCCAGGCGCCCGCCCAGGCGCTCTGGCCCGCGTCTCTATGGCAGGAAGCGAGAAACCGGAAGCGGGCCGCGGGGGCAAGGGGCGGGGCCTCGCCTCCACCTCCGCAGCGGACGAGGCGAGATGGCGGCCACCGAGGGGGTCGGGGAGGCAGCGGCAGGCGGCGAGGCGGGTCAGCCGGAGCAGCCGCCGCCCCAGCCGCACCCACCGCCAGCCCAGCTGCAGCAGCAGGGTGAAGAGATGGCGGCCGAGGCCGGAGAAGCGGTGCCGTCCCCTATGGACGACGGGTTTCTGAGCCTGGACTCGCCCACCTACGTCCTGTACAGGTAACGCCCCGGGAGGGCGTGGGGCGGAGGAGGCGAGTCCGCGGGGAGCCGGCTTGGCGCGGGCTGGGCCGCAGGTGGCTCCTTCAGCTGCCGCGGCGTCAGTCAGGGTTCGGGGAGTGGAGGTGTTTCCCGCGCTCTCTCGTGGGCCCCGCTCGCCATGGCGGTGCAGGAGGGACTGAAGCGGGGAGCGCCAGCGTAAGGTCTTTACGGGCTGAGCCGTGTCCCTGTAACCAGGGTTTCAGAGCCTGGCAGCGCCGGCTAGGCTGCAGGGGCTGAAAGGGACGCCTTGCTGTGAACCCAGCGCGGCGAAGCGATGTGTAAGCGCTGCTGCCGGTCTTTGCTGGCACACCTGCACGCAGCCCGTGCCCACGTGTTCCTTGCTTGGAGTAGCGACGCCGGTTGCCTGTTCCCAGGCGGACCTGCCTACGCGAAGGCGTCCTGCATCTCACTTCCCTCCGTAGTCCTCCGTAAACCCGGTAGATGGCTCATCTGCCTGGATTTGCTGCATGAGTGAAAGCTGGTGTTTCACAGAGGCTCCTCCCCTCCGGACCTTCTCGCTGGGTTGTGGAAGTGCCCAGGTTCTCAGCACGACTGAGCCTGCTCTGCCAGTCACAGCCTCGCCGTCCCAGGGCCTCTGCCCTAGGCTCTAGGTGTCACGCGCAGGTAGCTGTGTCCTTTGCATCTCCTCCTTCGTGGACACGGTGTCTGGACCGCCTGGAGTCTCTGCCGCCAACGGCTGATCGACGTAAGGAAACACTGAGTGGGTGACAAGAAGACCAGGGGAAGCGTGGCTGAACCTGCTTTGGTCACGTTGTGA